TCCTATGCATGGCTATCATGCCTCCTCTCACCCTTCTCTTCTTCAAGCTAAACATGCCCAGCTCCTTAAGCCACTCCTCATAGGGCTTGTTCTCCAGACCCTGGATCCACTCAGCCCCACCCACTAGGCAGGGAGGGAGGGGGGAGGGAGTGGGGAGGGCCAGGCTTGAGGATTGGGCTGAGTGGTCACTGGGTGAGAGTGTGGCCAACATCCGGGTCTGGCTGCTCTCCCTCCCTCCCTCCCTCTCTCTCTGAATGGCAGAGGGAGCCTCAGCCCGGGAGGCCGGGTCTGCCTGGAGACTGGTGACGCGGAGAGCCCAGGCCCATTCCCATTGGCGCATCCCCATGCGAAGGAAGGAAGGCAGGAAGGAAAGCGCTCGGGGCGAGTTTCCGCCCGGAGACCGGTGACGTCGTGAGGGAGGCGAATTCCTATTGGAAGGAAGGGGGCGCTCTTGCTCCTGAATGGCCAGCGCCGCCAAGAAGCCCCGCCTCTCTCAGGGCGCACAGGCCCCGCGCAGCCGCCATGTTTGGTGTTGGCGGAAACCCAGCGAGAGGGGCCGGCCTCCGTGTCCTAGAGGGGCGAGGGAGGCTCGGGCTCGGCCTTTCCCCGTGAGCTCATTTCCGGAGGAGGGAGGGAGAGAGAGGAGGAGGAGGCCTTCTTCCGGTCAGAGAGAGAGAGAGAGAGGGGGAAGGGTGAGGCCTTTCCTGGGAGTGGGGGAGGGTGAGTGTCCGAGGGGTAGGCCTGATTCTTAAGCAGGGGCAGGATGGCCATCTGTTGGGAGGGGTTTATTTGTGTTCATTCGTGGCCTTCCAACTATTATTATTATTATTATTATTACTAATATAGTATATTATTACTTTATAGTTTATTATTATAGTCATATTACAATTATTAAGCACATTATTATTATTATTATTATTATTAAGCAGGGGCAGAATGGCCATCTGTTGGGAGGGATTTATTTGTGTTTCTTCGTGGCCTTCCAACTATTATTATTATTATTACTAATATAGTATAGTATATTGTTACTTTATAGTTTATTATTATAGTCATATTATGATTATTAAGCATGCTGCCTCTGGCCTCCTTCCCCTCCTCCTTCCCCTTCTTCCCCTTCCTCTTCCCCTCTGGCCTCTCCGCTCCCTCCTCCGGCCAGAAGAGACCCAGGTCCCTTGGGAAGAAGAGCCAGGCAGCCCTGACTCCCGGCCTCCCTTCTTCCCCCTTCTTCCCTGCCCTTCACAGGCGGGAGTCCTTCCTCGTCTTCAGGAGGAGTCCCCTTCCTTCCTTCCTGACTGTGAGAGCCGTTCAGCAGTGGAACTCTCTGCCTTCTCCGGAGGAAGTCTGGTGGAGGCTCCTTCTTTGGAAGCTTTGAAACAGAGGCTGGATGGCCATCTGTCAGGGGTGCTTTGAATGCAATATTCCTGCTTCTTGGCAGAATGGGGTTGGACTGGAGGATGGCCCAGGAGGTCTCTTCCAACTCTAGGATTCTATGAGGAGGAGGAGGAGGAGGTGGTGGTTGTTTTGCTTCTCAAAGGGTTAGCAGTAGGGAGGCTGGGTGGCTATCTGTCAGGGGTGCTTTGAGCGCAACATTCCTGCTTCTTGGCGGAATGGGGGTGGACTGGGTGATGGCCCAGGAGGGCGTCTCTTCCCACTCTTCTAGGATTCTAGGATTCTGTGATTCCTTCCTTGTGGTTGGAAGCCGTGGCTCCCTTGCCTCCTCGTCTCCGGGGCGGCAGAAAGGACGCCTGCTCCCTCCTCCTCCTCCTCCTCCTGAGGACCCCTTCCCCTCACAGAACTTGACCCACGGCCCCCCTCATGTCTCCTTCCAAAGGCTAAGCATGCCCAACTCTTTAAGCCGCTCCTCATAGGGCCTGTTCTCCAGACCCTTGGTCATCGCAGTCGCCCTCCCGCTTTCTCTCTCTCTCTTAAAAGGAGACCGGAACCACTTACAAACAGAGAAATACAGGAGGAGGCCATTGGAAACCCATTGAAAACACACACCTTTTCAAAATCAACAGTGGACACCCATGAGAGAGAAGCCTCGTCTTCTGAGCCATCCCAGCAGAAGGAGGCCAGCCCAGTCAGTCCCCTTGTTGGCCATTCCAGTGGGAATGCCAGTGTTGCTGGCTCTCCGTTTATTGATTTATGGATTGATTTACTTTCTCTGGAGACGGCTCTTCTTTCTCAGCCCTCAGGCGACTCAGAGCGGTTTGCAACAGTTTCGGAATACCCAATACAAAATCATCAGGCATTTCAAAGCAGTAGCATCACAGACATCAATACAACATCAGGACATCAATACAACAAACCCATCAGGTCTTGTCCATGAAATCAGAATCCAAACTCGTTATCCGTTATTGCGTGTTCCGATAACACTGTTCAACGGAGAAAAAGTTTCGGGCCTGAAAATAGCTGTTCTTTTATGATTTTGGGGTGCTGAAAACGGAAATGACATTTAAAAATGTATATTGGCTCTAGTTTTTATGATATAAGCAATCACATGATCACGTATGGTTGAAAAAATGCATGTTGTGACTTACACTATGGAAGATTCTAGAATACTCTAGATGACGCAGTATTAGTGCCGTGTGCAAAAGCCAGAAAGCCCTCTATAAGGCCAGACTTTTAAATGGTAAGGGTCAGTCAGTTGAAGACGGAGACAGTCTCGTTAAACATCGTTTGACATTGCTCTTTTGACTGAAGTTCTGCCTCCTCGCACGTGTGTAAACAAAGCCCTATGGAAAAAAGATCTCAAGGCCAATGGACTCCGTCCATGCTGTCAGACTCCTGCCGGAGCATTCATTGGAAGAGGGAATCCTTTCCTTGGATACAAAAGAAAAGTCAAGAGAAGCAAACAGAATAGAAACTCAAGTCACGATTAAAGCGACATGTAAACTTTGAGCCTTTTCAACTGCATTAGGCCGACTCATAGAGTTTCTTGCTGCACAAACACAAACAATAGACTAATTAAATAAATATTTCTCATGTATAAACTATTGGCAATATAATTGGACTAAAATTTAGTAAATATTCACGGTTTATATACATGCAGTAAGGTCAGGCGCATTATCATAATATTAACGAATTACCTATTGTGGAAAAATTGAAATAGCTGTTGCATAAAAACCAGAGCCAATTAACACATTTAATTATTATATTTGAATTCAGCATGTTAAATTTATTAAGAAATGGCACATTTCGTTTCCGAAACTGAGAAAAACTGAAAATTTGTAGAACAGTGTAATCAGTCAATCAGTCACACTGCTTAGTCGAATGCCTGTTCAAACAGCCAGGTCTTTACTTTCCTCCGGAATGCCAGCAAGGAGGGGGTCAATCTGATATCTGCAGGGAGGGCGTTCCACGGCCGAGGGGCCACCACTGAGAAGGCCCTGTCTCTCGTCCCCGCCAGGCGCGCTTGTGAAGCTGGCGAGATCGAGAGCAGGGCCTCCCCAGACGATCTTCATGTCCTCAGTTGGGTCCAGACTCAGCTCCATGGGCAGGGGATCCTCAATGAAGCCCCCCCCCCCCCCGCAGACGGGCTCCGGGGCCAAAATGAGAAAAGCAAGATAGCAGTTTAGTTAAGAATTAAGTACAGAAAAATATGGCATCAAAACAGGGCCGATCCGCCATTTTGAGATTTTAGCGGATACGGGGACCCAAAAGGAAGGTCTCCGTATCCGCGGTTCCAATTGACGCAGATTCGGCCTCCCCGGGACGCCAGAAAGGCATCCCAGGCAGGCTCGCGGTTCCCCGGAGCCTGGAAAAGGGTTTATTTCATGCATTGGTTAGCTTAGGCAGTGAAGGACACAAAGTATCAAGTGGAAAAGTTAAAAAGTTGCAATTTTCAAGTACCTTTATTAGGGATTACAAAGTCAGGGGAAAAGTGATAAAGGCTGAATGCAATCCTAGTTTTGAGCTGTCTGTTGGGGCACATTTCATCAGTTGGTCCCAAACTTGGCTTCCAGGAACTGTGGAACTCTCCGCTGCAGTTCATACCAATTTGAAGGCGGGGGCCTCCGCCGCTCTCGGGGTCAGGTGCAGCGCCTTTCATGGCTTCCCACCGACTTCCTCAATGAAGCCCCCCCCCCCCCCCCCCCCCCCCCCCCCCCGCAGATGGGCTCCGGGTCCAAAGAGGGGCCTGTGGTGGGTGCAGCGCCTTTCGTGGCTTCCCTCCGACTTCCTGAGCCGTGGCACCAACATCACCTTTGGCACACCGTTTCCGTTTGGGCCACAATATTGTTTCCTCCGTGAATGCAGACAGTGGTTGCCTTGACTTCCCTTTCCTTTGCCCTTTTAACGTGGCCCCGTCCTTGTTGCCTTCCTCTCAATCTGCGCACGTTTCCTCTTTCAATGTTTCCACGTCTTTGTTGCCTTTCTCGGAACCGGCTGCAGTTTGTCAATGTCCTTCCTTTTTTAATAATTATATTTATTGCAAGGATTTCCATTATTTACATTAAAACAATTTGGGATAGAGTGGGGTGGACGTTAGGTAAGAGAGGAAAGGAAAGGAAACAGAGGGGGAAACAACAACAACAACAATAATAATAATAATAATAATAATAAAAGAGAAATGGGGGTGAGACGTAAGGACTGGGGGCAATGACGTCCTCCGGTCCATTCCACGGGGAGTTTCACTTCCTTTTTCCTTCTCTTCTTCTTCTTCTTGGGAACTTGCTCACGGCTTTCACCATTTTTCTTTCCTCTATTAAAATTTCAATGGGTTATTGATTATCCGCGGCGCCTTTGGTGAGTAGGTACGCAACCTGATACTATTGCTCAGCCTCCATGTTTGTGTCACTGGAGTACGCTCCCCCCCCCTTCATGGGAAAGCTCGATCCCACAACCTTCGTTTCAATGAGCCCCCCCTCCCCAAATAACCTGCTTCTCCTTTCATCTCACCTGTGTTTAAAATCAGTTTTAATCAGTTTTTAATAGGTTTTTAAAATCATTTTCTCGCACATGTAGCCGCCCTTTGTCACTGTGACTATGTTTATGGTAATCTTAAATCGTTAATGTATTCATATGTTTTATGTAATTGCGTTGTTGTTGTTTGTTGCATGTGTTTTTGGTTTTATTCTGCTCTAATTTGTTGATTGGGCTTGGCCTCATGTCAGCCGCCCCGAGTCCCCGTTTGGGAGATGGTGGCGGGGTATAAATAAAGTTTATTATTGTTGTTCTTGTTGTTGTTGTTATCATCTGGGTTGTTGTAGGTTTCTTCGGGCTATATGGCCATGGTCTAGAGGCATTCTCTCCTGACGTCTCACCTGCATCTATGGCAAGCATCCTCAGAGGTTGCGAGGTCTGTTGCAACTAGGAAAATTGGGTTTACATACTCGTGGAATGGCCAGGGTGGGACAAAGGACTCTTGTCTGTTGGAGCTAGGTGTGAATGGGTTGTTGTAGGTTTCTTCGGGCTATATGGCCATGTTCTGGAGGCATTCTCTCCTGACGTCTCGCCTGCATCTATGACCGGCATCCTCAGAGGTTGTGAGGTCTGTTGCAACTAGGAAAATTGGGTTTATATACCCGTGGAATGGCCAGGGTGGGACAAAGGACTCTTGTCTGTTGGAGCTAGGTGATTCGCAGTTGAAGCATTCATCCCTAGCCCCAGCAGACAAGAGTTCTCTCGCCATTTCTGCGCTGGGAGTGTTCTTGCTGCAGAAGTGAAATACAAGTATATAGTTTATCCTTATTTTAGTCTCTCTCCAAAACCCCACATTTCCAACATTTATTGTTTTGGTTCTTATAGTCTCTTGCTCGCTTCTCTGGTATGCCAACGCAAAAACATTTTGTAGCCGTTTTCTATGACTTTGATGGATCTTGAGTATTTTGATTTCAGTTTCCATCCTTTTCCCCATTCCTCTGAGAAGAGAGAGCGGTCAATATCCTCAGCCCACGGAATCATGTTTTCCTTTATCTGTTCTGTTTCCGCGTTCCATTCTAATAGTTTTTGGTACATGATCTGCAGTGTAGACAATCTCATAGAGGGAATCGTGGGCCACCCTCCCCTCTTTGCAGGGCTCGCTCTTGGTTGGGCAAGTGTTGACGTCCTTCTCAGCAGGCCGAGGCTCTTCTCCATCGGACCGCTCTTTCTTTCTCCCTTCTTCTCTGGCATTGGCTACAGCGCCAAGCGATGGTCCTTATTGTTCAAGGAGAGACTTCTGTGCTCTGCTCCTGATAAGATTTTCCTCTCGTTTTTCTGGCAGGTAACCTCTGAAGGAACCTTCTGACAGGAATGAAATCGCACAGCACTCACAAGAAATAATAAGTTGGAGAAATTATATTTCAAGCTCCATAGCTGTCCATTCAAGGAGGAAAGGGAGGATTGTGATGTAAACACCGGGGTTTGGTAGTTTATTTATTCAAATGGACTAGAGCAATACAAGGACTGAGAAGCGGAAAACAGGAGAACATACCTGTGACCTTCTGGCATAAATGTAAAAGAATGGAAACCATAAATGATAATCATAAATGTAAAAGAATGGAAAATCTCAATTCCTTGTCAAATTCACACACAGGGGAGAAGCGACATAACTGTATGGAATGTGGGAAATGTTTCACTGCGAGAAGTTCTCTTACTACACATCAACGAACTCACACAGGAGAGAAGCCGTATAAATGCGTGGAATGTGGAAAGAGCTTCAGTCGGAGTGACAGTCTGCGTATCCATCAAAGGACCCATACAGGGGAGAAGCCATATAAATGCGTGGAATGTGGAAAGAGCTTCAGGGAGAGTGGAAAACTGCGCTCCCATCAAAGGATCCACACAGGAGAAAAGCCACATACATGCATGGAGTGTGCAAAGAGCTTCAATCACAGTAGGGCTCTGCGTATCCATCAAAGGACCCACACAGGAGAGAAGCCGTACAAATGTGTGGAATGTGGAAAGAGCTTCAGTCGGAGTTCAGATCTGCGTTTGCATCAAAGGATCCACACAGGGGAGAAGCCACATAAATGCATGGAATGTGGAAAGAACTTCAGTCGGAGTGAAGACCTGCGTCCCCATCAAAGGATCCACACAGGGGAGAAGCCACATAAATGCATGGAATGTGGAAAGAGCTTTATTCGGAGTTCACATCTGCGTATCCATCAAAGGACCCACACAGGGGAGAAGCCACATAAATGCATGGAATGTGGAAAGAGCTTCATTCGGAGTGCAGATCTGCGTATCCATCAAAGGACCCACACAGGGGAGAAGCCACATAAATGCATAGAATGTGGAAAGAGCTTCATTCGGAGTGCAGATCTGCGTATCCATCAAAGTATCCACACAGGGGAGAAGCCACATAAATGCTTGGAATGTGGAAAGAGCTTCAGTCGGAGTGGAGATCTGCACACCCATCAAAGGATCCACACAGGGGAGAAGCCACATAAATGCTTGGAATGTGGAAAGAGCTTCAGTCAGAGTTCACATCTGCACACCCATCAAAGGATCCACACAGGAGAGAAGACACATACATGCATGGAATGTGGAAAGAGCTTCAGTCGCAGTTACAGTCTTCGTAGCCATCAATGGACCCACACAGGAGAGAAGCCACATAAATGCATGGAATGTGGAAAGAGCTTCAGTCAGAGTTCACATCTGCGTACCCATCAAAGGATGCACACAGGGGAGAAGCCACATAAATGCGTGGAATGTGGAAAGAGCTTCAGTCAGAGTGGGAATCTGCGTACCCATCAAAGGACCCACACAAGGGAAGATGCATCAGACAGCAAAGAGCTCACACACATCTAGAGGAGACCTGCCTGTATGTTTCGAATGGTCCCAGGCAGACAAAACATTGGGGCGATGGACAGAGGCTGTGACACTGTGACCAGGACTCTGCGGTGTTTTGGGGGTTGGAATGAACTACTTGCCTATGAGACAGTCTGTCCTATTGCTTGGTTCCTAGCTATGTTTTTGGATTACATGAAACTCAAGAGTTTACCTGTATGATCAGCTTCATACAAGATTTGTGAGTAAACTGTTTTATTGTATTATTCTGGTGTTCTGGAGTTGTTATTTGCTTGCGTGTGTTTGGATTTGGCGAGGCTGTATTGCTTTGAATCAGCAGACGGGCCTCAGAAGGTTTCACGACCTTTGCCTGCGTGGTTCTCCTGTCTCGCTCTTTCTCTCGCGCTCTCAGGGATCCCGTTCGCTTTTTGCAGCACTCTCTTTGATGCCGTGTCTTTGCATATTCAGGCATTCGCATTATAAGAAACTAACAGAGTAGATGTCATAAAGTGCTCCTCCTCCTCCTCCTCTTCCCCATAAATAAGATTCCCGAAGGAGAGGGGGGAGGGGCCATGTTTACCTCTTTCAGGAGGGAGGTCCAGAGGTGGGGAGCGGCCACGGAAAAGACCCCGTCTGTCGTCTCCACCAGCCGCGCTTGAGACGAGGGCGGGACTGAGAGGAGGGCCTCCTCTGCGAACCACAGCGCCCAGGGCGGTTTGTATCCGGAGATGTGGCTTTGTAGAGAGTCTGGTCCCGAACCGTTTGGGGCTTTCTGGGCAACGACCAGCACTTGTCTTTAGCCCAGAAGCAGACAGTGGAGCTGCCCTAATGTAGGGATTGTCCCTTCCCTGTCCGGTGCTCCAGTCCCTGGCTGCAGATCTTTGGACCCATTGCAGCTTCTGTACTACCTTCAAGGGCAGCCCCACGGAGAGAGCCTTGCAGTAATCCAGCAAAGATGTGTACTACCATGGCCAAATCTGGCATCTCAAGGCATGGGCGTATTGGCGCACAGGTTTTAATTGTGCTCAAGCTTTCATGCCCCCCCCCCAATACCTGGGGTTCCAGGGTCAGCGATGAGTCCAGGATCACCCCCAGACTCCGCCCAACACAGGCCGTCACCCCACACCCTGATCCGCCCCCCGACTGACCAGGAGTACCTCTGTTTTGTCTGGACTTACTCGCAACTTGTGAGCTCTCACCCAGTCCATCACTGGTGACAGGCACTGGTCCAGGAGCAGGGTGGCATCCTTGGCTTTGGGTGGAAAGGAGTGATAGAGTTGGGTGTCGTCGGCATACATTGGACACCAAACTCCAAAACTCTGGGTGATCTCTCCCGGCGGTTCCCTGTAAATGTTAGATCGCCCGAGGGAGAACCTTCAACCCTGAGGGACACCCCCGGCCAGGGAGTCGAACAGGAGTCCCCACCCCCAGCACCACCACCGGGGTCTGATCTCTTTTTTCGATAGAGTTACAAGCTGGGTAGATGCGGGGAATGATGCCGTGGATGTGGCGTGTCTGGATTTCAGGAAGGCCTTCTTTGACAAGGTCCCCCATGACCTTCTGGCAAGGAAATTGGTCCAAGGTGGGCGAGGCAAAACTAGGGTGAGGTGGATCTGGAATTGGTCAAATGGACGAACCCAGTGTGTGATTCTCCCCAATGCTTCCTCTTCATCCTGGAAAGAAGTGACGAGTGGAGTGCCATCCTCAGGGTTCCGTCCTGGGCCCGGTCCTGATCAGGATCTTTATTAACGACTTAGATGAAGGGCGAGAAGGCAGGATCATCAAGTTTGCAGACGACACCAAATGGGGAGGGAGAGCCAAGACTCCAGACAGGAGCAGGATTCAAAACGATCTTGACAGATTGGAGAGATGAAGGGCCAAAACTAACAAAATGAAGTTCAACAGGGAGAAATGCAAGATACTCCACTTGGGCAGGAAAAACGAAATGCAAAGAGACAGAATGGGGGACAATGCCTGGCTCGAGAGCAGTACGTGTGGAAAAGACCTTGGAGTCCTCGCGGACAACAAGTTAAACATGAGCCAGGAATGTGATGTGGCGGCAAAAAAAGCCAATGGGATTTTGGCCTCTATAGTGTCTAGAATCCAGGGAAGTCCTGCTCCCCATGCTCTATTCCGCTTTGGTTAGACCACTTTACCTGGAATATTGTGTCCAATTCTGGGCACCACAATTCAAGAGAGAGATTGACTCTAAGCTGGAATGTGTCCAGAGGAGGGCAACTAAAATGATCCAGGGTCTGGAGAACAAGCCCTATGAGGAGCAGCTTAAGGAGCTGGGCATGTTTAGCCTGAAGAAGAGAAGGCTGAGGGGAGACATGATGAGAGCCATGTATTAATATGTGAGAGGAAGCCACAGGGAGGAGGGAGTAGATCAAGTGTCTGGAGAACAAGCCCTATGAGGGGTGGCTTAAGGAGCTGGGCATGTTTAGCCTGAAGAAGAGAAGGCTGTGAATAGATATAATAGCCATGTATAAATATGTGAGAGGAAGCCACAGGGAGGAGGAGGGAGCAAGCTTGTTTTCTGCTTCCCTGGAGACTAGGACGCAATTATTATTATTATTAATTATTATTATTGCTTTATTTGTACCCCGCTAGCATCTCCCGAAGGACTCGATGCGGCTTACATAGGCCAAGGCCTCAAAACACAACACAACAATACAACACCTAAAGCAAATTAAAAAACAGTTAAGCAGTATAAACAACAACAATAAACAATACATCGAGACACTATAAAAACTGGGCCGGGCCAGAGTAGAGTGTACAAGATTAAAAGTGCTGATGTGGCAGGAGGTGTGTAGGATTATAAAAATAAGTGCAGTGTGCGGTGTGCAGCAATCTTAGTTCGACTAAAGTGCTTCTGGGATTTGGTATTGGAGATTCCTAATCTGAGAAGGCACATCGGAACAGCCAGGTCTTCAAGTTCTTTCTGAAGACTGCCAATGTCAGGGCCTGTCTAAGATCTTTGGGAGGGTGTTCCAGAGTCGGGGGGCCACCACAAAAAAGGCCCTGTCTCGTGTCACCACCATACGCGCTTGCGACGCAGGCGGAATCACGAGCAGGGCCTCTCCGGATAACCGGAGTGAACGCGTGGGTTCATAGACGGAGATGCGGTCACGCAGGTAGGCAGGTCCCAAACCGTTCAGGACTTTGTAGGTAAGCACCTGAACCTTGAATTGGGCTCGGAAGATACACGGCAGCCAGTGGAGCTCCTTGAACAGGAGGGTTGACCTCTCTCTGTAAGGAGCCCCGGTTAGCATCCTGGCCGCTGCCCGTTGGACCAGTTGAAATTTCCGAGCCGTTTTCAAGGGCAGCCCCACGTAGAGCGCATTACAGTAGTCCAATCTAGAGGTGACCAAGGCATGGACCACCCCGGCCAGATCAGCCTTTGCGAGGTACGGTCGCAGTTGGCGCACGAGTCTCAATTGTGCGAAAGCCCTCCCGGACACCGCCGACGCCTGAGCCTCAAGCGTAAGCGATGAATCCAAGAGGACTCCCAGACTGCTGACCTGCAGCTTCAGGTCCGCAGTCTGAAGCCGCGGACCTGGCCAACACAGGTTGCCACCCTATACCCCGGTCAGGTTTACGATCGACCAGGAGGACCTCTGTCTTGTCGGGAT